ATCCCATATAAAGAGGAGTATCCTTTTTCGACAACCAATTAAACAGTGTGCATTTATCTTCTAATTGGAAGTTACCTTATGGTTTGTATTTGTCCTTTAAGTCTTAGATTTCACAAATGTTGAGAGATGGAGGCATTTTTACAATTGCCTTAGTTTTGGATTGGTCAAATTCGATGCCTCTTTGACTTATGATGAAACCGAGTAACTTGCCTAATTCGAACCCGAACGCGCATTTTTGCGAATTCAACCTAACTTGATATTTTTGAAGTCAATGAAAGACTATCATTAGGTTTGTATACGAGTATTTATAGTCTTTGATTTGACCAGGGTGTCATCCATTTAGCTTTGATTATCTTATACATTAAATCGTGGAAGATGACAATCATTGCCCATTAATAGGTGGCCCCGCATTCTTGAGACCGAAGGGCATGACTCTATAACAGTAGGTTCCTCATTAAGTAGTAAAGGGTGTTTTCTTTTGATCTTCTACTACCATAAATATCTAATTGTAACTGGAGAAACTGTCCATGAAATATAGCATTTTATGACCGGCAGTGTTGTATACGACATCGTCTAATGCTTGTCAGTGGAAAATTGTCTTTTGGACATGTATTATTTAGGTCCTTGTAGTATATGCCCACTCTTATTCTTCCGGCTTTCTTCGGCATGGCCACTAAGTTGGCTAGCCATTTCGAGTAGCTGACGGGTAGAATGAAGCTAGCTTTTAAAAGCTTATCTATTCCTTTCTTATCTATTCCTTTTTTTATCTTGGGTTCGAGATGTGGTTTCTGTTGGTATAGTTTTTATCTTATTGGTGTAATGTCTTCATGCAACACAAGTTGATGTTCGACTGGGATTGGATCTAAGCTTGGTATATTATCATAAGACCAGGTAAGGTAAAGACATCTGTGTGATCATTTTTTCTTATTCCTCGATCTTAGTCATCTTAGAATCCTCTTCAATTCTTAGGTTGATGTCCCATGCCTTTTTGACGGTGGCCATGAGACTACCATCAAACCTCTTTTTGAATTGTTTTAATTGGGACTCAATTTCTTAAGAGTAAACGTGTTCTTAGACCCCTTATTCTTCCATGCCAATGTCCGGATTGTTAAACCCGTTGCCAATCATGGTGTTCTTGAGTCGTTTTTCACCGTGTCTTATTCGAGGGTGGGTAGGTGTAAGTTTTAGTATGTCCTGAGGTACCTTTAGACTGTATTAGCAAAAAATATGAAGAAACCCGATGTAAATATTGAGCAATGATTTCATGCAACCGTTGCATAGTAATATGATGCAACAACTTTAAAAAACCATCTTATGACCATTTGTTTGATTCAAAATTTGAAATATACACTCTTTTCATTTTAATGAACAATTACAAAAAAAAGGAAAAATTGAAAACACGATCTAAAAAGTATTCTTTTAGCGCAATTAACATAGGCCGTTCATTTTAGTGAGATGCTTATATCTAGGCTTTAGAAGGATTTTTTCATTTCCAATTTTTTTAGATGGCTTTATTATCATTAGATGAACAATGGCAAAAAAAATATATATGATTTTGAGCTTATAAAGGCTAATATCTTGAAATTCACAAAATGAATGGTCTAGATTCGATTTTGGAGGGGACTCATGTTGACCATATCTAAGATTCAAATTGAACTTTTTTTTTTTATTTCTAGAGCGAAACACAAACTCACAAATTAGTTCTAGATCCAATTGACTTGGACCTGACCTGAGTCTAGGTCTAACCTAAACCTAGTTGAGTCGGGTCAGGGTCTAGGTCCAGGTCCAAGGGGCGCATTCCAAGTCTTTTCAGTAACAGATCAAATTACATTAAAACATTAGGTTACAATTCGAGTACATATCAAATAAGTAAGGGATTGTTCTTGTCACTCCTAACAAAATTGTGAGGGTAATGTACTTTAATATTTCCTTAATTGAAAGGTTAGGTTAATTCTTTAATGGGTCCACATATTTCTTTGGGGTGAACCGGAATCACTCATGATGGATTGACCTTTGTGAGTTGAAAGTCAAGGCTACTTTCTTTCTTTTTTGACAAGAGCACAAATTTTATTGATGAACGATTATTACAATGAGATTACAAAATAATGGCTGAAGAAAAGCTGCAGTGATCAATTTGCACTCCTGCTTTAGCCGAGAGCATAGAGTTACCAAATATCCCACCATATTCAAAGCCCACATCCAAAGTTGATAAGTAAGAGTACAGACTAATCACCTATCTAATATTTATTAGAACTAAATTCCTTGAGGTAAAAATACCTTTCCAAATTTGAGACTAACAACATCCTCCTATGCCCCTATTGATAAATCCATTATTATTAATCCCATATTTAGAAACCAGCACCACTTTCCATAATTGTTGACCACCACACAAAGATCTCCTCTACCATTTAGCTAATAAGGCCTGATTATCAAACTTGAGTCTCCTAAAACCTAAGCTTCCTTCCATTTTTGGGATACACACCTTGTCTCAACTCACTAGATAATATTTTCTCCCCTCATCTAAGTACCCTAAAGAAAATTTCACTGTAAGTCTTTCAATGTTTTAGTTACAGGAGTTTGCATATGTAACATGGACATGAAATAAGTTGGCAAATTAGCCAAATAAGATTTAGTAAGAGTAATCTTTTTAATCACATGAGTATGTATATGTAATAAGGACATGAAATAAATTTGCAAATTAGCCAAATAAGATTTAGTGAGAGTAACCCGCCCCCCAGGATATAAGAATTTAGTATTCCAAAGATCAAGTTTTAAATGAACTCTTTTCAAAAAAGGATCCCAAATCGATCTTGGTAATTTATTATTTGAAATAGCAATATCAAGATATTTGATAGGTAAATAATCAGCAACACAACCTAAAGCCCAAGCCAAATGATCTACCACAACCAATACCCACCAAAGAGGAATAAAAAATGAATAAAAAAAAGTGTGCCAAAGAAGGACACCCTATAATCCATCTTCTCTATTTATGTCCAAAACTCATCGATTCTATAATACCATCCAAGATTTTCTATTCCACCCTATCATAAACCTTTTCCATATCCAATTTCAGTAAAACTTTGGTTCTGGTAAATCTCTAAACTGGTTGGCTAAGCCAAGGATAAGCACGCATCCTACAATGTGCTGCTTTATAAGATTTCAAACCATTTGACAAATGTGATATATGAATTTAGTTAATGTCATTTATGAGGTTTAGACTAAAGTTTAATAATGCTCTTAATCATTTGGTAATTAAATTGATATGTTATTTAACCATATGTTCAATATTTCACCTATATAATGAATTTTTATTAAGCACTTCCCCTTATTTTGTGTTTCAATGTTTTTGAGAATGTGAGGGTGTCCTTTCTTTGGAATTTATATCGTTAGTGATATATTCTTTGTTAAGTCTTTTGTACCAAGTGTTAGAAAGACAAATTTGGGGTTGGTAGTTGTTGGTGATAGATGTCTTTTTGACGCGTAGCTTTATGTAAGAATAACGACCTCAGAGGAAGAAAAAGGCTGCTGCTATTTTTTGTCTTTCCTCTGAAGGAGTCTAATTTAAGGTTACATGAGAAAACATTTCACTTTCAGATGAGGAATGAAGCCCCCAAACTGGCCACTGTTGACATCGAACAGCTTAAGGACATGCATAAAATAAAGACTTCACTAGGGGTAGCAATGGACCCGACTAGACCCAAGGACCGACGAGCATAACCGATCTCGGGCGGGCCTAGCCGGACCCAACCGGTACCCATAATCATAGGGTTTATGATGGCAATCATGTCTTTAGACACATGCTAGGTGCTTATATTATGACAATATTGACAGTTCTTATAGTATTATTGACAAAAAAATAAGCTCATAGTCATCGGGTATATGATGGTAAAAACAAAAGGCAAAAAAAAAAAAAAAGGCTTATAATCATAAGATGGCAATAGATCCAACCAGACCCGAGACCCAACGGGTCTAGGTCTGGTCCAAATTTTGGACCCAAATACTATTCGGATCTGAGTGCGGGTGGACATAACCCGCACCGGACCCATTGCCACACCTAGAGTTCACATAATAACGATCCCGTGGAATAATAAAGGCTTATTTTTCTAAAGCAAATCCGTTAGTCATGTATTCTAATAGGATACTGCAGTTAATAACGTTGTCCTTGCAGAAGCAGTATGTGACAAGCGCAACGGTGTACTATTTCTCATTAATCCTATAGGAGTGTGAAGTGTGTATTGCATTAATTTGTTTATCAAAATGTTAAATCATTAGCCACATGTTTTGATTACCATTCAGTCCAAAGTTCTAAAAATGCACAAGATTACAAAGAGATTGAAAAAAGAGAGAACAAAAGATTGCTCTAATAGGAAAAGAGCCACAAGGAGATTGAAAAAAGAGAGAACAAAAGTTTGCTCTAATAGGAAAAGAGCCACAAAGAGATTGAAAAAAGAGAGAACAAAAGTTTGCTCTAATAGGAAAAGAGCCACAAAGAGATTGAAAAAAAGAGAGAACAAAAGATTGCTGGAAAAGAGCCAGGCTTAATTTGTCAGCACTTGACAATTTGCAACATTACGTCCTAGGCTCAATTCCTACTACGGGCAAGGGCCTCTCCCCACTGATTCACCCCAAAAAAAAAAAAAGGATTGCTCTATTCCAATTTCAGCGTATTTTTACTCATTTTGGCCATTATTTGTGACTTTTATAAAATAAATCTGCACCTACAAAAAACAAAAAATGCAGGCAACTAGGAAAAATGTTGTGTATTGGGGGGGGGGGGGGGTGGAGTCGTACGACGACGACGTAGTGTGTCGTCTACGTCTACTCCTACTCTACTCTTCCTTACCTCCTCCTCCCTCCCCGTACC